CATTCCATTGGACTGTCAGTAGCTGGACTTAGATAATCTAGTCCAATTGTAGTCCAGTAAATATTAAATAATCGAAAGCCATAATAAACATTTACTACCTTTGATTTATTGTTTTTTTTTTTATTTTTTTTTATATATTATATATTTATTTTATTATAATATTAACCGTTTCTTACAGCATATCTCAATGTTATAATATAAAAGTTGTGCTATCGAATATACTATTTTGTTGTAGCCAAATATAGCAATTGTTACGATAATTTATTTGAGCTAGAAGCAAATTTTATTATTCAAAATTTCAGATGTCAAAGCTGTGAGTACTTTCGAGCTACATATGTACTGTGTAGTCTAGAGATGCCTGACGAAATGACGAAACCTAACGAAACCCGACAAAAACATAAGTTTCGTCAATTGACGAATTGACGAAACTATATGGTTTCGTCAAGTTTCGTCATTTCGTCAGGCATCACTAGTGTAGTCAGTAACTAAATAAACGAATAGATAAAAAAAAAAAAAAAAATAATAATAATATGTATATTAACATATTTCAGCATTTTTGGATGCTGAAATAAATTACATCACCATCGTTATAGGTCGGATCATAAGATCGGGACATATAAGAATGAAGTAATACTAGATCAGTGATACATAAATTAGTTAAATCAGTGATGCGATGCATAAAAATGTTATAAGGTTTATAGAAAATAGCATAATTAAAGATTAATTAAAAAGTCAAATGTGCGTATCGAAATATGATGTAATTAAAAATAGTCAAAGTGAGTATATAAGTAAAAGGCGTAAATAAAGAAATAATAAGTATTTTTCTTACCAAATATCCTATTTTTGAGTTGAGATATTTGCTTGCTTGATCTTTTGATGGTCAACGAAATATAGCATGCTCGACGTTTGAGTTGGAAACCCCTATGACAATGGATAATTAACAGATCGAAAAGGTAGCTAAGCAGAAGCCACATTTACATGATCTGGCCAAGGGTAATATTGCGACTTGGGGCTACATGTGATAATCAACTAATCTTCATAAGATGCTATAAATTAACTGCTACATACAGCAAACACTAACGTTAGACAGGATTAGTACAAGATGGTTAAATATGAGCCTACAATCAAGAATAATTAATTCCCTAGTAAAGAACAAGCAAAGTCGCAATCCAATCCCTTCAATTAAAAAAAAAAACCTGATATTTCATAATAATTACTGTATTCTACTTTACATTAATGGCTGGACTGCATGATGCATACGAGAAACCACTGGTCAATGCTATACAATATAATCTAAACTGCTTACGGTGATTCTGGTACAATCTGGGTTACTATTTTATTTGATTTATTCATTTTAGTTTTAAATCATATCTGCATTCACTAAATAAATCTTATCTTTGATATATTAGGCCAACCGTAATATACATGCAATGCTTTTCAAAAGTTTTAAGCAAATTAAATAATTACCTTTTTTGAATTGGTAATTGATTAAAAGATAAAAAAGGATAGCTCAAGTATCAATTACTACTTTTAATCAATTATTTTAATCACTAGCTAATTAGATCGATTACATTAAGAGATATGCTTGAGAATAACCTGAATTACTTGCAACTAATAGGATAATCAGGTATAGATATCAATAACAATAAATGCATTAAACTTTAAATCTAGTTTTAGAATTAGAGTACTAAAAAAAATTTTACATATGAAAATCGTAAAAAATCTTTACGATTATAAAGCATAATTATAATTAAAATAAATATAATTGATATTTAAGCAATACGTACCAACAATTAAACAGTTATAATCTTCATAATTTTTAATCCATGTATTAAAAAAATGTCACGTCGTCATCGATTAACTTCTTATATTGAAGTACTTGATCTAAAGGCAAATGATTTTAACAAATATGCAATATGTTTAGCCTGTCTTGAAATAAAAGGTCGTCCTTATGCTCTTGAAAAGCAATTTACTAATACTAAAAAATGTTGTAAAGATCATTTTAAAAAATGTGAATTTTTTCAACAAAAATACGGAGTAAACGAAGCACAAGCTATCATAGATGATACAGACAGTGAAGCAACTATGCAAAAGCGTCAAGGAAAAAGATTCCATATACAAAAAGATGATAATAATAGATTATCAAATTACACATCAAGTTCAGTATCTGTTAATACGCAAGGACTATTAGATAATTTTGCTCATCGTCAATTTACTGGATGTAATCTTGCCAAATTTAATTACTTGTTATTAAAAGCAACAATTTCAAATGGATGGAGTTTTTGTTGGGTTCAAAATCCAGATACTATTGCATTATTTGAATTTATTAATCCTTCATGTAAGCTTCCTGGACGACGTAAATTAGGTGGTAAAATTTTGACCTGTGTTTCAAATCAAATGGTTGCAAATATTAATGAAAAGGCCCAAAAAGATTTTTATGGTGTTACTCTTACTATGGATGGTTGGACAAATATAATTAATCAATCAATTATAGGAAGTGTTTTACTTACAAGTTCTGGTGAAGTTTTGGTATGGCAAGCGATTGATATTAGTGGTGAAAGAGAGGAAGTAAAAAATAAAATTAATGAAATTACAAAAAGTGTAACAAATGAAGGAATAAAAGTAGCAGCAATTGTAACTGATAGTCATTCATCATATGCTGCAGCAAGAAAACAGCTTCAAGTTGAAAACCCACAAATTACATATTTACTATGTTTCGCACATCAAACCAATTTATGTATTGGTGAGATTTTTAAAGAATCAAATATATTTAAAATTACCGCATTAGAAGCTACACGTATTGCAGTATATTTTAAAAATAAACAACATGCTTATTTTGCTGGAAAACTTAGTGATATTCAAATGCAAACATATAATAAACTACAGGCTTTAATTGTTCCTGGTGATACACGGTGAAATAGTTACTATTACTGTTTTGGTAGTTTTTTGCGAACTAAAGAAGCTTTAAAGGTAATTTTTATTTATAATTTTTATTTATTACATATTTTTTATTATAATCATAAGTATTTATTTTATTGTTATTTAAGACACTTATAGCACGATATGAACCTCAAACTAATGAAGAAATTGAAATTGAAAATAACTTGATATTACCTAATTATATTTGCAATCCAATTAATAATTTTGAATTTTGGCAAAATATAGTAGCTATTAAGCGACTTCTTTTATCATATTGTGGTTGTTTAAATATTTTACAAAGAGATAAAGCACGTCTTTATGATGTACTTCATTCTTTTGGTTATTTTTATCAATTCTTATCTGAACATTCAGATTTGCAATTTAGTATACGATTATGTAATCGTTTAGAAAAGCGATGGCAACAATGGGAACAACCAATAATTATTTTATCTTGGGTTCTTCACCCTAAATATCGTTTTGACAAGTTTAATGATCATTTACCATATTTAAATTGGGTTGATCTAAGTGAATATTTATAATACTATTATACTACTTGGACTGGAGTTGCACCAAAAAATATTTTACGAGAATTTGATAACTATCGAACTAAAAAATTTCCATTTAATGATGAATCATTTGAGCATTGGAATTGGTGCTCAGAAAGTATAAAAGAATTAGGGTTTGTAGCAAGTCGAATAATGAGTATTTGTATAAATGCTGCATCGGTTGAAAGGTTATGGTCTTCAATGGGTTATTTACATTCTGCTTCAAGAAACCGATTAAAAGTAAGAAATAATTTTTAAAAAATCTATATATAAATAAATAAAAATTAAAATTTAGTCTAATTTATTATTAGCATACGAAGGTATTAGCAATGGCTCAAATAAAAGGTGTAATAAATCAAGCACATCGAAATCATAAACTTGAACAAATCAAACAATTATATTATTCAAATGCAACTACTACATTATATGAAACTGATGAAGATACAACTCAAGAACCAGAAGAACTGACAAATATTATTGAACAAGAACAAGAAACTGATAGTGAAAATGAACTTCAAGATTTTGCGGATCTAACTAAAAATAATTTAGAAAAAGTGTTAAGCTTATGGGAATCTATGCTTGAGGATGAAAAATTGTATGATTGGAATGAAGAGATAACTGACTCATTACTTAATGCTGAATTATCATACGATATTCTTTTAGATCATGAACACCCTCAAAGAGATAAACATGCAAAATGGATTCTTGGTGAGCTATTTGTTAACAAATTAGATCCGCCTTCATATATTAATGAATTGTAAATTTTTATTTTTGTTATTGTTTAATGATTTATTGATCTAAACTATAAGAAGGATTTGGTATTATTTTATTTTTATTTTTTTTATTTTGTTATTTTATTTGTTTTTTAATCGTAAAAAGATACTTGTAAAAAATCAGAAATTATCAGATAATAACAATAATAAAAAATATTAAGTTTATTATAAATATAGTGCTACTTAATATTTTGAATTATCAGGTTATAAATTAAGATTCCAAGTTATCTTAAGATTTTCCTATGTATATCAGAAATCTTGGCTCGATTAACATAATTAAAACTTATTTCTATTGCAAAGAATCTTTATTTTATAAGTAATACATGTTTAAATAAGCCTAACCAATGTGTAGACCTATTTAAAAGTAGACCAATAAGGTCCATTGGACTGGACTGGACTGGACTAGACTAGAATTATTCCAATCAATTAACTGGACTTTGTCCAATAACAATAAACTGCACTATTTGGACTGGACAAACCAACTGGACTGGACTTATACGAATTTCAGTCCAGTCCAGTCCAGTAACTCGTGAGAGACTGGAATAAGTCCAATGACAACCCTG